GGTGAGATTTGAACAGCCGAAGTGCAGAACTGCAGTCAGCTGAGGTAGCCTGCAGTGCTGCATTTAACCACTGCGCCACCTCGGCTCTTAATAGAGACCATCTTAAACATAACCAATTGCCCATTGTGGACAATGGCTTCACTTAACAAGCCCTTTGTTTGCTTAACAACCACCGCAAAAGAATGTAAAATCATGTCGGATGACTTGTTTATGACCATAATTCTGGACTCAATTACAATAATAAATCCAGGACTACCTGTAGCTATACCTTGAATTTGGGCATGGCTTGGAGGCTTCCCAGAATGGATTTATTTGTTGTCTTTATTCAGGAAGTTGACTTTTGGAGTATGAGAAAAGTGACTTATCTGGATGTACTATCAAAGCAAACCATAGCAACTCAGGATTGAAGCAGCAGTTCTGTAAATCCAGCATAGCAATGTAACATTAGTTTAGCAATTCTTGTAATGAGAGATGGGCTAACTGTGATTGTCCTTGGCATACTCTTGAGCAAGACAGCATTTCTCAGCTGAGCTGCAAAAGAGAGAAAAAGAAAAGAATGAGTGTCTGAGGCAACACATGCCAATGCCAATATCAGTGGCATAACAAACAAAATTGGGGAACCGAAAAATACATAGTTAAAAGCTTTTCATAATGTAGGTATATTAGAATAGGCGCTGGATATTTCCAAATGCCGTCAGCTGAAATCAACTTTTTATTAAGGAGCAGGCCATGCAGATTCTCAGAATGATGTACGGTGTTTTCTAATGCTCATTTAATTTCAGCAATTCATAGGTTTCTCCCACCTTCCTTTTATTTTGTTAAAAAGAAAGTTGTGCATCTCTTTAAGCTTATTGTAATTAATGTAAGATACCACAACATGTGTCATTGTTTTACATACTGATGTTGAAATCCATTTGCAAGAAGCCACATTTATAGAAAGGTCTGTGTAGGTTGAGGCCTTGGAGAAGCATATCCTGTCTTTCCAAGTGCTACTTGTAGAGCAGGGCTGACAAACTCACACACCACGCGCCGGATGTGTCACGCACTGGTCACGCCCATCCTGGTTCAGCGAAGGAGAAAAAGGTTGTGATACCTCTGTGGTAGAGCAACGTTAGAGCATCAGCAACTACATATGCAGCAGAATTCCCTTGCTTAATGTGTATCGTGTCCCTAGTTTATGAAGATAACTTCAAAAACGGTCTTGCTCTACTTGGTCAAGAGAAATTGAGAACTTGAAAGTAAAATTATTACGAATTGTGCTTTACTTATTGAAAATCATGCTAAAGCATGGAAATTGTGAAAGTTGTTGGTAATCATACTTTGAACTATGTGGGCCTTGAAGATAATAGACCCATGCTGTAGGGATCCTGTAACAAGGTGGATAAACTTGGTTGCCATTTCTCTATATCAGTGTAGCCTACCTTGATTGAAAAACCTTTTTTTAGTCATCAAATACTAAATGATATTATATTGAAATTTGTGTTATGGCTTTTCAATAGTTCTCCTCTGTTTTGAAAGTGTCTTCTGTTTTTCAATCTCATTCTCATGGTATTTTAAAATGTCTTCAAAATTTAATTGCTGATAGGCCTGGAATGCAATATTTTAGATGGAAAAAAAAATCCAACATTTTAGGTTTTTTGGTTCCTTTTTTTTTTAAAGTAAGCCAGCTTTCCCCCCAGCTGTTTCCTTGATTCTGAACATGCTTACTTAGAAGTAAAATTTCCACTCATCACAGTGGGGATTTGGTTCCAGCTAAATGTTTCTCCGTTGGCATAAACCAAAAAACAAAAATCAACTTTTTTTTTCTTCACTGCACAGCCTCAGAGCAAATTGCTCAAAGAAGAAAAAAATAGATTGCTTGAGAATTGCATTATCACTAAAAATCAGGGGAAAGTCGCTTTTCTTTCTATTTGTTTCTTGTAGGGGGAAAAATTGTGTTATGGTTTTGTCAATATTACACAAAGCTTCAAAATCTGAAATAAATTACTTTATGATGTCAAGGTTCCTATTGATTTTCTAATGATCTCAAATGGAACACATGCCTTTTCCAACTCTCTGGCAAATTGCTTGCTCCCCGGAGAACAGAATTGGATTTCTATTAAAGGGAAGGTTAAAAAGCATTCCCCTAAAATCTAAGGGAAAAGGAAGAGTGAAGGGAATGATGCTTTTCCATGGGTTGAACACTTGGTAAATGGATATTTAACCTTTGACCATTGAAGGCAAGGCTCTTGCAGTTCTATTAGACCAGCAGCTTAGCTTCTATAATTAAATAAAAAACTATTTAGAGCTTTGCTGAATATATCCTGGGAATTAAGGCATATGGCAGGAATTGGGAGGAAGAAGACTTTCCATATGCTAATGATCCTTGATGTCTGAAATAAATTAGATCCATTAGAGTTTATGCTCAATAAAAGAAAGACTTTAAGCACTCCAAAGTTAGTGACTCGAGACCATTTTTTTGGCTTTGAAATTCAATCTGTCTACTTATTAATTCTGAGTAAGACTATTGAGCAGACAGGAGATGCAAAATTATAATAGTGTGCAGAATCTGAATTCTAAAATGCCATGAGGTTTTGTTTTTTCTTTTCCTTCCTTTTTCCCCCCTTTTCCATTCCTTTTGTTTTATTTTTAAATTAAAGCATTTGGGTGCAATTGTGTGTATGTGTGAATGTGTGTGTTTAAAAGCTCCCTGTGTTAATTTGATTTTATTCCCATTTTTTTTTCTTTTAAAGGTTTCATTTACCCTATTTCAACTGAACAGAGAACCCAGAATGAATATGGATTTTCTTGTAAGTGTTGCTTGATAATGTGAGCTTGGATTCTGATTAGCTGATCCAAGAGTTACTTTCCACTAGGTTGTATATCCATTGGGGAAGAGAGATTCAACTTCTCCAGAGTTATGTTTTGCTTGTTTAAGGCAGAGTCCACGCTTGGAGAACAAATTTAGGGAAGGAAGATAAAAGAAAATCAAAGAAACCAATTAAGATTCCAGCAAAGCGTGGAACAATTGCAACTTTTAAATTGGATTAAAGAGGATAAAACAATGAGAGAGAATGGTTCCCTTGGTGATTTTTCCTCACACTTTTTTTCCATTAAATCCATTTATGAAAGATAAAATAAAATAGTAGCATTTTCAAATGCAACTTTTGAGTTCCATTAGGCAGAATATATTGAACCTAATGTCCTTTGGTCATCTATCGGTATTCATCTATGCTACCCTGTTTCCCCAGAAATAAGATCTCCCCAGATATTAAGCCCAATTGGGCTTTTGAGCACATGCTCTCTGGTTGCTTGCTGAGACCAGAGGGATAAAGGGGAGGGTGAAACATGCACCACACCACCCACACGCCCTTACCTAATGGCTGCTCCCGCAACCCTAGCCACTGCGCTCCTGTCATGCTAATGGCCGCTGCAAAAAGAGCGGCAGGCCCAGCGATGCACCTTACACCCCACTCCTTACCTACCGCCATATATTCCTGCGGCTGAGCAGTGCTTTGTTTGAAAAGCATCTGGCTGACAAGCGGCTGTGTTGCGTTACCGCACAGCACAACACAGCAACAGCCATGAGGTGACACTTGCCGCCTCCTGCACCTCAAAAATAATAAGACCTTCCCAAAAGTAAGGCCAAGCGGTTATTTCAGGGGTCAAAAGAAAATAAGACCCTGTCTTATTTGGGGGGAAACACGGTATTAGGAGTTAAAGAAAACCAAAACCAAGCATTTTTAGAACATGATATTTTCTTTTAAGAAGATATTGCCTATGTACATAATGAATCCAAAAGCTTACTATTTAAGCATATCAGTACATTTAAATATTGTAATATTGGTCTATTTAAACATAAATAAAGTATTTTCTGTTCATGAAAAAGTTTGCATCATATTTATGTCACATAGGGAGGGGTTTTGGGGGGGAAAGACTTACTGAGGGAAGCAAAGGGGTGGCCTGTTATATTACAGTGGGTTTAGTGAAGGGATGTACTACAAGCATGTAAGTGAAAAGATCACCAAAGCTGGTCTGATTCCTACAGCAGAACTATAAAAAATTCTACCTTGCTATTATTGTTTTTGCAGTTTGCTCATCTGCATTGTGAAAATCAATAAACTGGGAAATTTAGAGGGTAAATATTTAGATATTTAGAATAAATGAAGGACAAACTATGAACACAGTAAGTGGATGATGACTATATTCAGTGTCACCTCACAAGTGTTGCAGACATTATCATTCTGGCCTACCTTATAGCACTGTATTTGGGAATAAGTGAGGACTCTAACATCCAATAAAGCCAGTATGGTGTAGTAGTTAAGATGCTGGATTATAATGAGATCTATCAGACAGACCTGGCTTCTAATCCAGCCTTATTATAGGAAAATTGGAAACTTTTGAGACAGTCAGTTGCATTCAGTCCAAACGTAGATAAAAGAGTTTGTTGGATAAAATGAAGGGTTATTCCATAGACATTGTCTGGAGCTGTGGGAGAAAGGACACAATACCCACCTAATGAATTCAAGAATAACTATATGCTTGTTGAAGTTCTACCCAGTCTTTCAATACAAGCCAAATTAAATCAAACCAAACATAAAGCTTGAAAGGCAGCTCACAATCCAACTAAAATAACTCCAACGAAACCACAATTCTAAAATGAAAACAACAGAACAATAAGAGTAGACACACACACACACACACACACACACACATGTTTACAAACCAGTTTGAGTTCAGTTGCATTTTAAGAGACTGGAAGAAAAGAAGAATTATGCCCGATGCTTTACATTTAAGCTTAACTTTAAATTAAAGACATTCAAATGACGACAATATTTCAGGGCACTCAAAGAACACGCCACTGGTCACCGGTCACTTCCTTTGGAGGAATAGGCTCCAGGGAAGGAGGCTGATAATGCATGAAATAGAATAGAATTCTTTATTGGCCAAGTGTCATTGGACACACAAGGAATTTGTCTTTGGTGCATATGCTCTCATAAGGAGAATAAAAATACGTTCATCAAGAATAAAAAAATATGACACTTAGTGATAGTCACGGTTACTAATAAGCTATCAAATCGTATTGGAAACAAATAAAACAATATAAATTGAAAGATACAAGCAACATGGTTATAGTCATAAGTGGGAGGAGATAGATGCTAGAAAGGAAGAAATATATTCATATGGCAAAAATGCAAGTCCTCAAATTTTAGTGAGCTTAGACAGTTTTGGTTCCTTTTTCATCCTTCATCTCAGTACATTCCAGCAAGCTATCCAAGGCGTGTTGAGGTATCAGCTTGTTCTGTTGCTGTTAATTGTTGTTTTTTTCTTGAAAGTTGTCTAAAGCAGAGGCTGTTTGGATTTTCATGTCAGACCATGTTGGAAACAGGAGGAACAAATCTGATTTGGACAGCTGCCGTAGGCTCTCTGACAGATTGCAGACTTCTCGAATTCTGTCAGCATGCATAAAACAGCGATGTTCACACACACACACACACACACACACACACACACAAATAGAAAATATGATTTTTTTTAACCTCCCAAAAAATCAGTGATGTATTAGAAACAGGTTTTGAATTTTCTGACATGATGATACTTTCCTCCAGATTTTAACGCACCACTAATCTTTTCAATAGTCACCCATAACCTAAGAGCAAAATTGCATATTTGGGACTTTAAAAAAATAGATTCCCCTCAGCTTGTCTAGGGGGGCATGTCAATAATATGTACTGTATTTTTTGGAGTATAAGACATACCCTTCTCCCTCAAAAAAGAGGGTGAAAATCTGGGTGCGTCTTATACACTAAATACAGCACTTTTGACCTCCCGAAACCCTGCCCCCTTTGCAAAAATGGCTGTTCACAGCCTTTAGGAGGCTTGTAGAGTGCTCCTTGGGGGGCTGGGGAGGACAAAAATGAGCGAAAAACAGGCCATTTTTCACTCAGGTTTGGGGGGCCCTCAGCCCCCAGGAGCATTCTGCAAGCCTCCTAAAAGCTATGCCTGCCTCTTTTTTTTTTTGACAAAAACAGGCCCATTTTTGCGAAAAACAGGCTGTTTTGGGGAGGTTTGCAGAGTGCAAAAACTTTTTTTTTAATTTGTCACTTCAAAATCTTTGTGCGTCTTATACTCCAGTGGGTCTTATACTCTGAAAAATATGGTAGATATTTAACATTTCTTTAAGCAAAGTATAAGCAGCCAACTTGTACATACATACAGATGCGCATACTGATCGACAGAGACTCAGATAAATAAAATACACATGCACATTTGAAAAGCATTAACATACAGTTACTTCTATGTCTCCATATTATGGAGCTCCGGCCTCAAAGTATTTTCTTTAAGAAGTAGGCAGGCTGTCTATCAGATATGTCACCATTTCCCATTTATTTTATTTTCAGATTTGTTTACTTTTAAAAGTAAAGCTTTGGTATGCCAAAAAGAAATATAGCCTCTTTTATTAACAGGTGCCCCACTGAATAAATTAGCACTGAAAACAGTGCTAAATGGCTCTTTTGATTAAATTTGCCTTGACAGTCTAGTTACAAATAATGTGTTATTTTGCTTGCTTCCAAGAAAAAAAAATACATAAAGAGTAAGAAAACAGTTATGACTAATGCCTCAGATATTTTTTCCTCCTTCCAAAATCATGTGGCAGAGCATTCAATTTAAAATTAACTTGCAAAACTATAATAAACACCTATAGGAACTGATAGAAGTATGTGGAACAATTACCATATTTTTCAGAGTATAAGATGCACTAAAGTATAAGACAAACAAAGGTTTTGAAGAGGCTTTTAAAAAAAAAAAAGGTTATGCACTCTGCAAACCTCCCAAAAACTGACCTGTTATTTTTTTTTAAAGAGGGGCATGAATAGCCTTTAGAAGGCTTGTAGAGTGCTCCTAGAGGCTGGGGGGAGCAAAATTGAGCAAAAAAACAGTCCATTTTTCACACATTTTGCTCTCCCCAGCCCCCGGGATCTCTCTAAAAGCCTCCTAAAAGCTATACACAGCCATTTTGGTGAAGGGGGAGGGGTTTCGGGAGGTAAAAATGCTATATTCAGTGTATAAGATGCACCTAGATTTTCAGCTTCTTTTCTGAGGAAAAAAGATGCGTCTTATACTCTGAAAAATACTGTAATATGTTCTCTACCTTTGTGTCCCAATTTATTTTTTTCTTTTTGGTTCCCCCCTCCCCTCCTAGCTGCTCCTGATTCGGATGATGTCGCTCTCTACGTTGGCATTGTGATAGCCGTGATTGTGTGCTTGGCTATTTCCGTAACTGTTGCATTATTCATCTACCGGAAGAACCATCGAGACTTCGAGTCAGATATTATAGATTCCTCAGCACTAAATGGTGGATTTCAGCCTGTAAATATAAAAGCTGCCAGACAAGGTTTGTTTCCAGTCACTATTAACAAAATTTAAACAGAAGCTACAAGACAGGGTTCGTTTCTTTATTTCCAGTCACTATTAACAAAATTTAGAGATATGCCATAAAGCAGATTTCTCCAACTGAATACCTTGTAGATAAATTTATCTAGAAAACTTGATCTATAAGAACTAATGTCATTTGGCCCTTTTCTTCATCCTCCTTTAAAAATCATTACCTTTTCTTCCCTCTGACCCAATCTAAATCTTTGATCAGGGATATTTCATTAATTATATAGCCTGTATAGCCGTGATGGTGAACCTATGGCACATGTGCCCAAAGTGAAGCATGGAGCCATGTTGCCTGACACGCATGGCATTGCCCATTCCACTTTCAGGTTTCTGGCGCACATTCCCACGCGACAATCAGCTGCCTTCATGCATGCGGCAGTGCCGGAAATTGCAAGAGCTGGTCTTTCATTTTCCAGCACGAGCATGCGTGCTGGCCAGCTGATCGTCACACGCATGCGTGCCAGTCACTGGAAGACCAGCTGGTTGGTGTGCATGCCCACGCTGGAAAACAGAAGTTCAATTAAGGAAGGGAGGTAAAATTTGAACTTACGGATTTTGGCATACCATTCTCAGTTCTGGATATGCGTTATTGCAATACGCTTGACTTCTAATAAACTATGCTTTTCTCAACAAATGGAATCAAGGATCGTATCTAATTAGAGGTTTAAGCTGTGACAGGTGTGACATCTAGCTTGTAAGAATACTTCAGATCACATCTACTGCAGAGAAACACAATAGACTGGCTGGAAGGGACATGTTGGGGGCCCCATCAGATTTCAGTTTCATGAACTTTTGAAGAAAGGAACCTTCATATCATAGAACTTCAATTGTGCCTATTTCTATAACATGTACAGCCTAACAACTATCTTTTATACAAAGAAGCAAGAGAGAACTTGATCCTGAACTTAGATTGCTGTTGTATTGATTGCATTAGTTGGAAAATCTTTCTACTCGCAGTCTACTTGCTTCTCAAGTTCTTGAAATTTTCTAGAATCCATTCTCAGGAGAATCCCACTGCTAAAATACAAATGAACGCTTAGTCCTGTAGCAATTTTTAGCCCACAGATGTAAGCATGCTCCAATTTAAAAACCCCAAGTACTCTGCCATGTAGGTGATTATTTGTGCTTGTCAGACTAATGAGCACTATAACAGGATGCTTCCTATATTGTATGGTATAAGGTTGACAAGGCTGTCCTCCATCTGGATTAAACTTCTACAAAGTATTTTCCACTTTTCAAAGACTCAGGATATAGTATTTTTCACATCTTTTCCCAGCCCTATCAGCCTCCTGGGGATTTCTTTTCATTGGCTAGATCTTAAGCCTTTACAATCTCCGACATTTGTTTCCTGCCATGCTGACATTGCAATAGCTTTCTTGTCTCTTCCCAACATTTCTGTCAATTTTGTTGATCACTTTGCTGGTCTGCAACTGCTGTGCAAAGTCAAAAGTTATTCTGCCAAAGCTCTTGGAATCTTTGCTGCCCTTTCTGGAAAAAGTCTTACTTTGAGACATCTCCAGAACTGCAGGTTAATATACTGTATCTATCATAAATTATTGATTAGAGGTAGTTCAAATGCTTAAGCTGCTTCTATTACATAGCCCTGTTCCCTTCCATCCTATTTTAGGAACATTTAACCATGTTCTTCACCCCTAAGCAGATATCATCTGGAAAAACATCAGGCTCTCACCTGCAAAAGTGAATCTTCATATGTGAAATGCCTTAGTATGACTGTACAAATTATCGCTCACATAATTTTGGCTGCATGCAGCAGCTTAATATTTTGAAACATTTTTAGATTTCTGCAGCCAAACCTATACCTCAGTCATGATTTAGTGAAGCCTTTCCTGACTAATAAGGGACACGGTGGCTCAGTAGCTAAGATGTTGAGCTTGTCGATCAGAATGGTCGGCAGTTCAGCGGTTTGAATCCCTAGCGCCACGTAACAGAGTGAGCTCCCATTACTTGTCCCAGCTTCTGCCAACCTAGCAGTTTGAAAGCATGTAAAAATGCAAGTAGAAAAATAGGGCCCACCTTTGGTGGGAAGGTAACAGCATTCTGTATGCCTTTGGCATTTAGTCAGGGTGGCCACATGGCCACAGAGATGTCTTCGGACAGCGCTGGCTCTTCAACTTTGAAACGGAGAAGAGCACCGCTCCCTAGAGTCGGGAACGACTAGCACATATCTGCGAGGGGAACCTTTATCTTTTCCTGACTAATACTGTGTTTCCCCGAAAATAAGACAGGGTCTTATTTTCTTTTGACCCCTGAAATAAGCGCTTGGCCTTATTTTTGGGAGGTCTTATTATTTTTGAGGTGCAAGAGATGGTGAGCATGGTCATCTTATGTCTGCTGCTGTGTTGCAATATATTTTCAGGGAGGGCTTATTTTAGCACATGCTCTCAAAAGCCCGATTGGGCTTATTATCAGGGGAAGTCTTATTTTCAGGGAAACAGGGTAGAAATTACTTTTTATCGGTGGTTTATGATCACATTATTTGTTTTAAACAGCATATGTTCAAAGTTGCCCTAGAAGGCCAAGTTGACTATGAAGCTCTGAGGGTTTTATTTATATCAAATCCAGAGAGGGCCTGTTGGGGATCCTGTTGTTGTTAAGGCCGTAGCTTCTTGATTTCAATGTTGTATTTCTTCTTCTTTCAAACAGATCTCCTAGCGGTTCCCCCTGACCTTACTTCTGCAGCAGCTATGTATAGAGGCCCGGTCTATGCCTTGCATGACGTCTCTGATAAAATCCCAATGACCAACTCGCCAATCCTGGATCCATTGCCCAGCTTGAAGATCAAAGTTTACAATAATTCGGGTGCAGTCACACCCCAGGATGAGCTGTCGGATTTTTCATCCAAACTCTCTCCACAGATTACCCAATCCCTACTGGATAATGAAGCATTAAACATGAAAAACCAGAGCCTTGCGCAGCAAACCGATCCATCGTGCACTGCTTTTGGGACCTTCAATTCTCTTGGAGGTCATCTGATTGTACCTAATTCAGGTAAATTATTATTTCCAGCCATTCGCTTTTAAATAACATTTCTCATGTAGTTCCAGAGTTGTTGGAGGTTGTTGGTTTTTTTCACCCTCTAGCAAAGGTTTGGGTCATTACTGAAAGCTGTATCCTACATTTAAATCAGAGAAAATATTTTTCTCCCATTAGATTTTACTTGGCTATTATACAAATTCTTCTCACTAACTTCTTCTGAAGGAGAAAAATGCAGAACTCTGAGTCATTGCCATCAGATAGAGACCTTCTACCGTCAACTTATTTGAAGTAGGATGTTCAGCCCTTTGGCTTTTTTTTCTTTCATGTATCACAATTAAAAAAAGAAGGAAGAGGGAGAAAACCTTGAAGTTCAAGGCAAAAAGAGTTCCGTTGTCACTTGACATAAAAAGAACAAACTAATTATATGAAAGAAATCCGTTCCAAATTTCAGTTTGTTTCCCCCAGCTCAATAGGAAGACAGATGTTTATAATACAACAGTTCTTTCTCTCTGCATTTGAAACCTCAGAATTTTTTAATTTATACATTTAAAGATAAATGAATTCTTTGGAAGTCAAAAGTGGGGGGGGGAGAAGAAAATCCATTGTGCAATTAAGTTAATTATCTTCCATAATTATAATGACCATTTGCAGGTATTCCAATAAACTTATTTGTGTGTGAAGTTCTGTCTCCACATAAGAAGAGATGTTTAGAAGAATAGAATAGAATAGAATAGAATAGAATAGAATAGAATAGAATAGAAT